TCAAGTATATAAAAATGGAAGAACAACAAATGTTGCCCAGATATTTGTAAAGTTAGCTATTAACCAACTATACAATGGTTTTTCCTTCTGTTCGAGAAGAAGGCACTCTCCCAAAACAAGCCTGAGCTTATCACAATTAATTTCTGGATATCCATTGTTGTGCTCATGCACACATATTTATACTACTATGATCTTCTACAAGACTTAGGACAAAGCCACCAAGGTTTTGTTACAAGTGTACAATGACAAAATAAATAACAAACACATGAAGATAAGATATTTTTGTTATACAAATACAACTAAGAATAAAAATGGGTGGTCAATTGAGTATTTGGAAATATTAATGGCTTGTTGTGTTTCAAACACTGTATTCCACAGGTGGAGAGGAAGCCCAAGGAGCTTATTTGGATGGAACATCGGAAAGTCAAAAGTTGATGAGAAACCACAACCTAAGTACCATGACATTGATCTTCCCTTCGCACCTTCTCTGGTCTCCAAAACATTTTTAAATGGTATCCTCTTTTCCTCTTATCTTTTTTATCCTCAAAACAAAAGTGCATTATTTTTTTATTTTAAAAATTCTACAATAATTCATCATATTAAGTTCCCATTTCATATTATTGAATTTGAATCCATGTGTATTAACAATAAGTCAATCATGCTCAGTCTTTTTACTATTATTGGGGGAATATTAACTGGCAGGAAAAGAACTGAAATGCTGTTATAGAGCAAGCATTGATGGATTTAATGCAATAAACTTCTACAACTGCTGTAACTTTAAGGGTCCTTGTGTTATAATAGGGTACACAAACAAGCCCTTCAAATTTGGGGCATTGTTACAGAAGCAGAGATGACTACTATGACACATTTGATGCATTCCTGTTTTACTGGCATGAGGATGGGAATCCTGATCCTATAATATGTAATCATTAACCAAAATACAACGAGTTTAAGAAGAAAAGACGTTCTCGTTGTAATGTTAATTTTGCAGGTTCGAAAAGAATGATGTTCCTGCTTGGTTGATGATTGATGAGTTCGAAAAGCGGAATGTTCTCATCTTTAAAGAAAAAAAAATTGAAGGCGACATCACAAGAGTGTGCATCTCGGCTTCAACAAATTTCGTTTATTAAATGGCAAAATGGTAAATAAATCAACAATTTTGCTAGTCATCATGACATATAGGTAAATAAATCAACTATTGTGGGTCCATTTTCTAGTCATCATGGCATATTTGTAAATAAATCAACTATTATGAGGTCCCATTTTATTAAAAAATTGTTGATTTATTTACAGTTTTGCCATTTGATAAACATATTTTGTTTATCAAGGAAATAACCTTGTATTTTTCGGAATATACTATAGAGTATTTATGTATTTTACAAAATTTAATTTGTTTTAAATGTAAGATGAAACATATAAACTACATACTCTTTGAGATTAACATGTATTGAAATTCCAAAAGCATTCTCATCTTTTGAGCTTAATGATTATATTTATTTTTTAACATGAGCAGTGCATCTGCAAATTGTGAAGAAGTTGGTAACTCAAGAGTTCTAAAACCTTTTATTTGCACTGCACCCATTAAGGTTAGTAAAATATAAATCAAATGACATTTTAGTTCATATCAAATTTAGATTAATTTAATTTTTTTATTGTTATTATTGAAATTCAGTACCAGTATGCAAATCACTCGAATTCAGAATATACAAATTCTGGAACAACCACTTTAAAGTTTCAATTGATCAATCAACGAACTGATTTTTCATTTGCATTATTTTCTGGTGGATTATCTAGTGTAAGTTTTCTCAATTTTGGATAATATAGTTATATTATTGCTACTATGTATATTGATGTTATGTGTTCAATGTTGTAGCCAAAGCTAGTCGCAGTATCGAACACCATTTCGTTTGCAAATCCTAAAGCCCCTGTCTATCCACGACTTGCTCTCGGAGAAACATGGGATGTGGTATGTTTATACTTCTAAGTTACATTCGTGTTATATTCGTATCATCATTTACTTGTTAAAAAATCACATAGACCATTGTGTACTATTCTAAAAAATGGTGACTATTATTCGGATATCCTAAAATAGTATGATAAATGTCTGATGTAGAAAATAGTATTCTGTTATTTCTTTAATTTCATCAGAGAGACTATAACATGAATCAGTAGAATATTAAATTTTTTGAAAGATATTGTTATGTGAAATTCATTTTCCTATAGTTTTTGGTGCAAAATAATGTACTAAACCCTTACCAGATTGCAAAATAATGTACTAAATCTTTACCAGAATGCAAGATTTAACTATGATTCTTGTAATTATGCAGATGACAGTAACATGGACAAGCGGCTATGACATAGATGAAGCAATTCCTTTTGTTGAGTGGGGTATGCCTGGTGCTCACACTACGCGATCACCAGCAGGAACTCTGACATTTACTCGTAACCAAATGTGTGGTATGGTTCTTCTTCACTTATAATTTCAGTATATCTTTATATTAATTTACCTGGAAACTGCAAACATTTCAAAATCTCTTTCATAAAGTGAATGCTTAATCAATATTGTTAAATTTCACAAAATAATTGTATAAGAAGTGTCTTTGGCAATCATGTAGCTGCACCTGCAAGAACTGTCGGTTGGCGTGATCCTGGATTCGTTCACACTAGCTTCTTGAAAGATCTGTGGCCCAATATCAAGTATGCAAATAAACATTGGTTTAGTATACACTAGCATGCTTGTCGTGACTAATGATTAATAATACATTCATAACGACTTTGATCCTTATATATGTTATTGATTGTATGTTTTCCAGATATACATATAGGCTTGGTCATCTCTTAAATAATGGTACATATGTTTAGAGCAAGAAGTATCAATTCAAATCATCTCCATATCCTGGACAAAGCTCTTTACAACGTGTTGTTATTTTCGGTGACATGGGGAAGGTATTACATTTATACAATATACAAAAAGTTGGTTAGATGTTTTGAATCTACCCATCAAGACAGTACTATGTAAGCAACATATAAATTTGCAGGCTGCAGGCTGCAGTGCCTGAAATCAATTTTTGCTTCTTTTAGGCTGAACGAGATGGATCAAATGAGTACGCAGATTACCAACCAGGATCGTTAAACACCACAGACCAGCTAGTTAATGATATTGACAACATTGATGCCGTCTTTTTGATAGGGGACATGCCATATGCCAACGAATACATCTCTCAATGGGATCAATACACTACACAAGTAGAGCCAATAGCATCAGTTGTACCCTTTATGGTGGCAAGGTTTAATCTATTCTTAAAAACAGATTTTGTTTATTTTTAGTAATAATATTATTTGATAAATGTTCTGTAAAGTTTAGAAATATCTATACTATGCTAACGCTTATAGCTATTTTTTATCAATGGTAATCATGAGCGCGATTCACCAGATTCAGGGTCATTTTACCAAACTGATCACTCAGGAGGTGAATGTGGTGTTCCTGCAGAAACAGAGTTTTATGTTCCTGCTAAAAATAGAGCCAAGTTTTGGTAAGTACAAACGACGAAATTTCCTGTAATCAGTTGTAATGGAACACTCGCTCACCAACAATGCATATACATATATATAGGTACTCAGCAGATTATGGAATGTTCCATTTCTGCATAGCAGATACAGAACATGATTGGAGAGAAGGCACTGAACAATACAAATTCCTGGAAGAATGCCTTGCATCAGCAAATAGGCACAAACAGCCTTGCCTTATATTTGCAGGCCATAAACCCCTAGGATACTCTTCGAATTCATGGTACGGCCTAGAGGGATCTTTCGAAGAGCCAATGGGTAGAAGTGACCTTCAAAAGTTATGGCAGAAGTACAAAGTTGATATGGCATTCTGGGGACATGTCCATAACTATGAAAGGGTTTGCCCTATTTATCAGGTATCACTAGAATTGTAGACTTTATTATCTGTGATAAAAAAAAACAATAAGCTAATTTTTGTCTTGTTCTCGTCACCTGATTTTTACTTTGCAAAGTATTAGTATTACCACCTGAAACTGCCTTTTACAATGTCATTTGTTTTATTGTATGTAGTTATTGTTTGTTTACTGATTAGAACAATGATGGGTTCACGCAGAATCAATGTGTGAACAACGAGAAATCTCACTACTCAGGAGTTGTAAACGGAACAATCCATGTAGTCGCAGGAGGAGGAGGAAGTCATTTGTCGGAATTTAGTTCGTTAAAGACAGTGTGGAGTATATACCAAGACTATGATTATGGGTTTGTGAAGCTCACAGCATATAACCACTCGTCTTTGCTGTTCGAATACAAGAAGAGTAGTGATGGCAAAGTCTATGATTCTTTTACTATCTCTAGAGATTACAAAGATGTATTAGCTTGTGTTCATGATGGTTGTGAACCTTACACTTTAGCAACCTAGGAGAGATTAAGGAAAATGTTTGTACCTTGAAAAAGGAGGCAAAGGTCAATAACTGCCTCATTCAATGTGTAAAATGGAAAAAAGGAAAATGAGTATTCAATTGGATTGATGAAATGGGAAGAGAGCCAATTAGCCTAAGACTTTGACATCACATTCAATTAATTAAGGAAAATTGTTTTGGACCTTTTTCAATGGTTTTATACTTTCATTTATATTTCCATGACTTTATTTCCAATGTTAATACACTTTTTCTTAAATTAAAATAAAGGATTTTTTTTTGTTAATAACAACCTATTAAGTTTCAACCTTTACTACTCCCTCCGTCCCTTATTTTTTGCCCCATAGCAAATATATGGGTCAAACTTTTATAGCTTTGACCATGAATTCTTGTTAATTTATAAGCGATAATATATTCATGTTGGATCATGTTAGAATCATCTTATAGTATATTTTATTAATATCAAGTTTTTATATAATTTTTACGCTTATAAAAATGAAAATATAGTTGTTTAAAAAGTCATCTTGAAGACCGTGAAAAGTCAAATGGAGCAAAAAAAAAACATAAGGAACAAATAAAGTAACATTTATCTTATGTTTTAAACTTTGTAAATAACTACTACTCCATAGTACTTTTTACTTTGTTTTTGTTTTGGTACTCTTACTTGATGACGAATGTAGTCAAAATTTTCGTTAATGGGGCTCACATTCATCGATTTCTACACTTTTCCCCAATTAAGAACCCTAATAAAAAGAGAAAATAAAATTTTATCAAGTTAGAGCACTTAAAAAATAATAGGAGTTTAACTCCCAAAAAAAAAAAAAAAAAAAAAAAAAAAAAAAAAAATGAGGTTTATCTGCTTGTGAAAGTATAACTGTAATTTGATTATTTGACTCTTAGTCAAATTCTATCTCATCACCAAAAGAATCCTAATCTCCGCATAAACCTCGTTAAGATTCCTCAGTTGTTCTTACTACTCACAAGACTTATCATCATAAAGTATTTATTATATCTCCAATAATGCAAATTAATCAACCTTTTCCCACCATTAAAAGATATATTTCCATAAAACTAAGATTAATAACTTCAACTAATGAATACATTCATTATTTAACCCCAAATCTCAATTACTAGCAAATTCAATTTCAGTGCTAAAAATGAAGATGGGTTTTGTAATTTTGAAGCTTTTCATAGTTTTGAATTCATGGGTTTATCTTGGGTCGGGTCATAGACCCGTTTCTGGTGAACAACCCCTTTCAAACATTAATATTTTGAGTACTATTCTTGCTCTTCATCCACATGCCTCCATTACTGCTGCTCCACTTCTTCTGGGTTTGAAGGTATAAATTTACTACTCTTTTTATTATTATCAATTTTTAATTGATTTACTATTTTTTTAATTAAATTTTTGTGATGTACTGATTTAGAGTAGGGATCATATTATTAATTTAGTGAAAGATTTAACCTTTGATGATTTGGACCTTTTGGGATTATCTCGGGTTAATCAAAAGTTCGGATCTTGTAAAGTAGACTGTCTAAAGTCGAGAACTTTGTTATTAATTTTTCTATTGATTATATTATATGATCATTACAGTGGTGAAATATAATGACAATGTTGGATTATTTATTAGAAAAATGGTTTTTATACAAAATAATAAAGACAACTTGAAATTGAATGATTAAAGAGACTAAAGTACTTTATTTACTTTAGTGCTGTTTAGGCTGAATTGTCTAAACAATCTTCAAAAGTTGCACATTGTTAAGCAAACCCCTCTATAGATTAGGAAACTGTATATTCCCTCCATCCAGAAACAATTGTTGTGATGGCTGCATCTTGATTCTTGGCTGACTTGACTCCCAGATGAACTATACCATCGTGAATATAGATGGTAGAGAATTTTATTATTGGCCTCGGTGTCTTGTGTATATATGTGTTCACTTTCAGTATCAGGCTTTTAAACATTACAGTATTATATTTTGTGTCAAGTGTTAATATCCATGCTAGAGCATATAAAATCTTGGCTGCTTCACTGCATCGTGATCGCATTGTAAAGAATTTTGAGCTTACCGTGACAAATGTATTAGGCCGGAAACCATCTGCATTGCCCACAAAATTGGTTCAATGGTTCCATGACTGTTACTGCATTGCGACCACATCCGAGATTTAAAATCATGTGCTAGTGTCTAGGATGTAACACTGTATCTTTAGGTGAACTGAAGAGTCAAACTAACAAAGGTAGAAATCAATGAAGAAATTTGACAAAAACTATTCCAAGTTTCACATATCTTGTCAAATTATTCTCACTTTATGATAATTTAGGATCGATCCCATGATCTGGATGAAGTATTCTTTGAATGGTGTTAAATAGTGGCATTGAATAAGGAATTGCCATTATCAGAGAAATGTTGTTTTTGCCCGAACTGCTTTTGTAAGCTGTAGGAAATAGAATATCCTAAAACAAAATATACTCATTGATAAGATTATAAGAACAATAGTGCTGCTATCATAGAGATGATCAAGTGTTATAAAGTGCATGACAATGAATCTAATATATTTGCATCATTCAGAAATTATTGACTGCCCTGTATTGCATTATCCATTACCAAGCTTAGATTTCAGGGACTATGCATGGCTATTTGGCAAATGTAGTTAGAGATTGAGAAAGAAATAAAGGGGACATAAAACTTGTGAAAATGTCGACTTTGAGACTTTTTAGTCTATAAGCTTCTCAAGCTATGAAGTGGTTCCATCAGTTTAGTTCCATCTGTCATAATTTGATTACTTATATGTTTATTGATTCTAGGGTGAAGACACTGAATGGGTAGACGTAACCCTTCAGGCTCCAAACCCATCTTCAGATGATTGGATTGGAGTTTTCTCTCCTGCAAAGTTCAAGTATGCTCTCTTACTGCCTTTATACTCTGACCATATTGTTGGTTATGTTTGTTTAACAATCGGTTTTCAGCATGATTGCTTCTTTACTCTAGCCACATCTCATGAATGCTGTCCTCAATTTTGTTGATACATTACCAAGTTTTTACTTTTTTTGGTCAAAGCTGTTTAATTGCTATGATTCAAGGACAATATCCTAATTAACAACTTACTTGCTTCTGAAGCTCATCATCCTGTTATTCAGAAACTGATTTGAAAGATCAAAAACCATATTTATGCTCAGCACCAATTAAGGTATATATACTGCAAAGAAGCTGTTTTGTCCAACTAGATATATTTTCTTCACGAACACACTTGGATTGGCTATGAACTAAATGTATTATTTCAGTACATGTTCGCAAACACCTCCAACTCAGATTACACAAACAATGGAAAAGCCAATCTGCGTTTCCAGCTGATCAATCAGCGTGCTGATTTCTCATTTGCTTTGTTTTCAGGCGGCTTGTCCAATGTAAGTGGAATTACTTTATTCAGATATCTATAATCATTACTGTTCTCATTATGTTATGAATATCACTTCATGACTTCATCAATGCCTCTGATATACTTGTTCTCTGCAGCCAAAACTGGTGGCAGTTTCAAATTATGTAACATTCGCAAACCCTAAAGCACCACTTTATCCACGTCTTGCTCTAGGGAAGTCATGGGATGAGGTAAGTCTGTTGTCCTCGTAATCTCTGTGTGCAAACAGTGTAACAATTATTCTTTAGCTTTGCACTTTTCCAGAAGAGTCCTCTCATTCCATTTTTAGACAATTTCAGTTTCACTATGTTCTTTTAGGTGTTATCTTTATTTAACAGTTTTTAAAAATAGAGTTGGGATATTTGAAGCATTTATTATGCCAATATTGTAAGGTACCAGTACAAAATGGCTCCCCCTCAAGTATAATGATATTATGACAAAAAAATGTATAAGAAATAGTTAAAAAAAAACCGGCTTATAGAAAGAAAACATTCACGTAATTTGAAAACTACTCGTAGGGGTTAACAATTTTATTGTAATGGAGGGTATGATCTTATACTTTCTTTTCTCTAGGCAATATGATACAGCACTCCGGTTGACTTGCTGACTTTGATTCAAACAGCTGTGATTTTGCCGTTATTTGGGGTCATGTATAATCAGTACATCCATTTATTAGTGTATTACAAGTTTGCCATTTATATATAGTGAGGTTTGGTTGCAATGCATTAACATCACCAGAACATTTCATCATTTGTAGTTGAATTGAGAATTGAACTCTCTCTGGATGTGCATGTGTCATGTATCAATATATACTATCTTTGTTTTGCAGATGACTGTAACCTGGACAAGTGGCTACAATATAGATGAGGCTGTTCCTTTTGTCCAGTGGGGCCCTCTAGACACAAGTCCAAAGCGAGCACCAGCTGGAACATTGACATATACCCGCAACACCTTGTGTGGTAAGGTTTAGTTGCTGAACTACTGTCATGTTGTGATTCAATAATCGTGTCAGTTTACTTTCAAGTGCACAGCTCCAAGCCTTTATTCTTTGTTTAAATTTCAGACCTCTAACTGTACAAACATCCTCTTTCCTCCTGTGTTATGATCTGGAATTGAGCATCTTAACCTCTTATCAAGAAGCATGACTTAGATGAACTTCATTGCCTTCAAACTGAAAATTTGATCTTTGCATTTAAATCAACCTTGTTCTATCTGCTACTTTCTCTCTCCCTCGCTACCTTCTTCTATCTACCTCTTTTCTCTTTTTCTATCTCCCCCCCCCCCTCTCTCAAGTTTCTTAAAATTAATCCCAAGAATATTCCATTTATTATCTGTTTCTTTTACTGTTTCTCAAAAAAAAAAAAAAAATCTGTTTCTTTTACTGGATGTGAATGACCAAATTAGATACTTATCTTGGCACTCCCTAAAGGACTTTTTATACTACCTCATAAGTGACCGGTATTATACAGTGTGCTTGGACATGGAGGACTGCAAAATGTAAAGTGTGTAAACACTATCAATAACATTGGGCTCATGATTGATTTTTATTAATGGGGAGGCTTCTGTTCAAGATACATTGTACCACTGAGGTTGCAGATCGTGATTCAAACATTGTTTGAGACTTTGAGCCAGATAACTCACCTTTGGGATCACATATTGCCATGCTTTCTATGGTTTTTTTTTAAATTTACTTGAATGGAAAGATACAACATAAATTGCTCTGCCAATCTCTCAATGTTTATAATCTATCACATCACAAACATTCTCTGTTCTCTTACTTCCTACTAAGAAATTTGATTCACTTTCTTTCCAAAATTGATTGTAATCTGATGAAAAAAACTATATACCAAGCTTATCTAGGAAGTGGTTTGAGGTCATAGATCATCATGGATTGAACACCTTCTAAGTTGTGGTTGAAGGGCACCACTTTAAATGTTGGTGCTTAGTGCTTTCAACCTGCCTGTAGCGGAGGGCACATGAGTGTCCATCATAATGACTGTGTGCAAAGAATGAGCAGATATAGCTTCTCTCTGGCCTAAATTACACATAAGATTGCATTTCATTGTCCATTGAAAAACCTTATCGCTTCTAGCTGCATATTCTTGACTGCTTTATAAAGTTACAAATATGCTCTGAGGGCTATCTGCATTATTGAATTTAATCCTTTTCCAGACAGCCTTAGGATCAGATTCCCAAGTTTGTTTGACATTTTCTGAATGGAGAAATCCTGAGCATTCTGAAGATCTTTCACTTGCTGTAAACTAAACTTACATTGTACAATATTGCAAGTTCCCTTAAACTTCAATCTGGATTTTAGTGATTCTCAAACCTAGATTAAAATGGTTCAAGTATTTTCTTTATTTAATTAACAATAAACCTATGTGTCACTTGTAGTGGCAACACTTTTTTCTTATTGTACTTAACTTGCTTGTAGGTGCGCCTGCAAGGACAGTTGGTTGGCGCCATCCTGGCTTTATACATACAAGTTTCCTGAAGGATTTGTGGCCAAATCAGCTGTAAGCATCTAAGAATCTTACTTTCTATAATTATCTAGTCCATGACTTTCGTCCTTATGCTCGTGGCTATTATTCTTCAGGTACATGTACAGGATGGGCCACATCTTGTCCAATGGTTCATATGTTTGGAGCAAGACATATTCATTCAAAGCTCCTCCTTCTCCTGGGCAGGACTCATTGCAACGTGTTATAGTATTTGGCGACATGGGGAAGGTATGTCCATTTTGTGCTAACTGGGACATAGATTTCTTCCCAAGGAGTTCATATTCCCTGTATGTTCTCATATTTTTATGCTTTAATGATCAGCTGTGCAGCTGACTGCTATATTTCACCTGATAAACTACATCCATATATTTTTATGCTTTAATTATCTATAACAGCTTTCTTTTAGTGATCTTTCTCAAGCATTAAATATTTTTGGAAAAGTGGTACATATGTACTCATGGTTTGACATATTTTTGCATAACACCCGCCCACACCATCCCATGTTTTTACCTATTGCCCTAAATAGGTCCCTTTATAATATATTAGTTATAGCTGCATAGGTGAATAAGTCAATAAGATGTAAGTAAATATACTCTACACTTACGTAGTGACTTTATTTTTAACAACCCTCATTCTTTCTTTTATTCTGTTATTTCCATTGTTAAGGGTGTTTTGCAGCTGGGCTTGCATACAGATGACTTTCAAATTAGAAAAATTTTGCATGTAGCATTCATGATTCCTGTAATCTTGATGACCTTGATTGATTATATACTAATGTCAGATGAGAACTTTGACTCCACACTTGTTGTGATACTTGTAGCTAAATGGTTTTTTCACGATGAATCTATAGGCTCAATTCATGCTCATTTGTGTGCTACCTGCTTTTTTATCCTCTCTATCTTTGTTAGTGTGTCTTTGTTCAATTAGATTTTAAAGATTTTTTAGTCTTACTGTCATGAGAAGAGAGCCATTATTAGATTATGTTCGCTCCCTCCATCTTTAAAAGTTCTCATGCTCTGACAAATTTTGTCTCACAACAAAAAGTCAAAATAGAAAGAACTTTTAGAGACGGATAGAGTACAGTACTTCATCGCTACTTGTTTTTCGCACTTGAAGAAATAATAAGCTTTGTAATGCTACTCAAGGAAACATATCAAGATCGAGTCTTGAAGTATTGCTGTTTTTCCCGTTTTTGTTAATATTTTTGTTTACTTTATCCTTTTAATCTTAATATTAAATTTGTGAAGGCATTACAATTTTATATGTCTCCTTTCTAATTCAGGCAGAGCGTGATGGATCGAATGAATACAGTAACTATCAGCCAGGATCACTCAACACTACAGACCAACTCATCAAAGATAAAAAAAACTTTGATATAGTATTTCATATAGGAGATTTATCATATGCAAATGGATATCTCTCACAATGGGACCAATTCACCTCTCAGGTGGAACCTATTGCATCAGCTGTTCCATACATGGTTGCAAGGTCTTTAAGCTCTTCTCTTTAGTGTTATTGTCTGCATTATTACACTTTCACACAGCATTTCCTTCCCTTTTAGATTAAGCTAATGTACCCTTGGAAACTTTTTTGTTTCCTTAACTTGGTTACCACACATATTTAAAATTATTAGGTGGTATTTAAGGGTTATCAATCTAATTGAAATAACAAACCTTTGCTAGTGGAGATGCATCACCTTGGACATACATTTCTGAGGGACACTGCATGAAATTACACAAGCTTGATACCATTTCCTCAATTAACATGTCATATTGTCTTTTTTTCTCAGTGGTAATCATGAACGTGATTGGCCAGATACAGGATCATTCTATGGCAAAACTGATTCAGGTGGAGAATGTGGTGTGCCAACACAAACCATGTATTATGTTCCAGCAGAGAACAGGGATAAGTTCTGGTAAATTTTGATCCAAGCTTCCAATTTAGCTTCAGTATCTTTCATTATAACTATGACAAATTAAACTATGATGCAACTTGAAAACCTGTAATGTGTTGGCTTGTTCAAGGCACTCAGTATGATGCATGCATAGAATTACACCTACAAGAGCAACAATTATGCCAGATTTGGCTCAGTACTGAGTCTGACGGTTAAAAGTTTCCATTGTATAGTTTTTCCTATATATTTCACTAACTAATGATGATATTGTTTAGGTATAAGGCAGACTATGGAATGTTCCGCTTCTGCATTGCAGACAGTGAGCATGACTGGAGGGAGGGAACTGAACAGTACAAATTCATTGAGCACTGCCTTTCAACAGCAGATAGGCAGAAGCAACCTTGGGTCATCTTTGCTGCTCATCGTGTTCTTGGTTATTCATCGGACAAATGGTATGGGCTACAGGGCTCGTTTGAAGAGCCAATGGGTAGAGAAAGCCTTCAAAAGCTTTGGCAGAGGTACAAAGTTGACATTGCATTTTACGGACATGTACATAACTATGAAAGGTCGTGCCCAATATACCAGGTATGGGTTCTATATCCTCCCCATGTACATTTACTATTGGATGAGAACTGAAGTATAACCTTATCTCATAAGATGGGATCTTAGTAAACTCATCCACTTTTCTCCACAGAAAAAAAACTCCTATATACTCAGGCAGTGCCAAAAATGCTTGTCACCCCCCAAAAATTGCATAAAAATGCCTCTGAGATACACTCTCAAATAGTCAAATGTGTATCACTTCTTGTTGGATGGGTTGGCGCAATGGTACTGTTATTGTCTTTGTAATATTTTCCTTTCTAGTGATCTGATTTTTCTCCCTGCTTGATTGATGCAGAATCAATGTGTAAACTCGGAGAAGTCTCATTACTCTGGCATTGTAAACGGGACTATCCACGTCGTTGCAGGTGGTGGAGGAAGTCACTTATCGGAATTCAGTGAAGTGAATACTACTTGGAGTATCTACAAGGACTATGATTTCGGGTTTGTGAAGTTAACTGCATTCAACCATTCATCTCTGCTTTTCGAGTACAAGAAGAGCAGAGACGGCAATGTCTATGATTCCTTTACGATATCTAGAGATTATAGAGATGTTTTGGCTTGTGTCCATGATGGCTGTGAATCAACTTCCATGGCATCTTAAATTTGAAGGAACTTGATATAAATTCAACATGGAAAATTGATGACTTGTGAAATTTTAAAGGGACTATTGTTTCTCTAGCCTAGGAAGAATTAATTGCATACCAAAAGGATATTGATAGTCATATAATCGAATTTCAAAGGGATGCGCATTTTTCAGACACCAACTACTTAAAGAAGAGTGCTTGTCTGGGACTTCAGTCTCGAAAATGCTTCCCTTTCAAATGTTGTTCCAATTTCAATCGATCAAAATTTTTGGTTCCGAATTCGTGGCCTTGACATAGAGAACTTCATAAAAAAAATAAAAAAAAATAAATCGGAGCCTTCTTTCGCTTGATGGCTCGCTACTTTGATGATAACCAGTTTTATGAAATGGCTTGAACAGGCTATTTATAACAAAACCCATGATAAAATAATTTGCTTTTATTCAAGCTAGCCCTAGTCAATCTTGATAAACGAAATATGCAAATCAAAGGAAAAACTTGTAACAAAGCCCTACATTAAGCAATTAATTTACAAGTTTGCTACTTGATTTGCATTTCAAATTTATTAAAAATTTAAAATTGTATTTTATCCTTTATAATTATATATTTTTCATATGATAAAAAAGAATGTTTAAGAGTGCAGAAGGGGCAAACATTGAAGTTTACTCATCAAAAATATTAAATTGGGGGTACCGGGGTAATATGAACAAAACATTGACAACATCTCAAAGTGTAGTTTCATAAATAATATCAACATTTTTTTTTTGGAAAAAATATATGTTAATATGTATGTAGTAACTAATGATATGAATGATCAAAGATAAGTTATTTGACATAAATACTACGGAGTAGTATATACATTACTCGTAAAATATACTTGCAAAACAATTGAACTCGTGAACTCCAGCAAGTTGACAAGCATTGACTAATATCATTAATATAATAATATAACATTAACCTGAATATGACTTGAGCGCTCCGAAAACAAATGGAATGACTCATAACCTGAATATAGTTAAACTTAATTGACATCTATATTCTCTAAAACAAAAAAAAATTAGCATTACATGTCAAGGAAAAGGATCACAGAACCTTCCTGCATAGCAAACGAGGATAGTGGTGAAAATTATCTTCTAAGTATTATTGATAATCATCATTCATCATACTCAAACCAGAGTAAATCTCTAGTGGCAAACCAACAAAGGTCACACATTATGTATGCACAAGGCAGCCTTCACGTTATTCTTATCTGATGGTAGAAAATGACTTGCTGCATCAACTTTTTTCCCAACCAGGCAAAGGTTAAAATATTTTGCCGAGTTAAAGAAAGATATAGTTGTCTTGTGTGGAGTATAATCAGCCTGACATCTCAACATCTTTATTTTCTTGGTCACTTCTTGAATTGATGGATCCTAGCAAATCATCAATCTTAAGAGGAGAACGACGAGCCATGTATTGAAATACAACCTGCAAAACAGTTAGGAGACAAAATTATCCAATTTTACCAACAATCAATCAATTAACTCTAATACCTAGGGAGCAAAATCATCTTCACAGTTCTTGAAGTGGCAGAAGACTTTGATCTTCGTGTAGCCAAAGTAGAAGCATTGCTCCTTTCAAGGGGCCTCCAAATACAGTAGAGAACTACAAAAGTATATACTTCAATTAACATTTATAGTCAACTTATAAATCCTAGGGCTTCGCGTTGTGGTAAACTGGCAACATATTATGTGGTAAGCTCTGAATGCTTAGGGCTTCAAAGCAGAAAAGTAGGCCTTGGAAAGGTAAAATCGCAGAGGTAGAGAAGGATCAGTTCTTCCAAAATACACTCTCCTTGGACAAAGAGCAGGCAACACTTGGTTGTAATGTCAGCAACACAAATCAGGCAACTGTTGAAGGTATATATCTCATTAAAATCACATTATTCAAGTTTAACTCTATAAGAAGCAAAGTGAGTAAGAAACAGCACATTCTTTGAGCCCAAAGGCAAAGCAAAGTGACTATAAAGAAAGTTGGGCATGCAGGAACAGCCCTTGATTCCCATATGCCATATCTATAAACATGAGATGGAGTGTCAGTGTGTCACACAATATTACCAATTTGACTTCATGATGGCACTTTTTTTCCTCCAGCCCCCAATATAGTTTTTTCAGGTAGCTAAAACCGATTGTTTTTTTTTTTTTTTTCCCTTGCCATATCCTTTGTCTCACTTAGTAAAACATAGAGAAAATAAAAAAGAAATGGATATTAAATTGTCGAAGTCAGATTAGACTCATGAGAGAAACTGTGACATAGATTTTCAAATTGTCAAGACCCCGTTATAAAATGGAAAATGAATGAAATACCTGCATCCCAAGTATTGACATGTGGAATAAATACGAAGCTACACCCTAAAAGAATAATACTATGTATCCCCCCTAGAGTGGTAACAACATTTTTAAGACTTTGGTGGTATAATATACAGAGAGTAATAGATGGCAGACATGGTGGTTCTTCTAGAGAGAAGCATGAAAGAGGTAAAATGAGAGTAAAAGAGAGCTAACCCGTGTCTCCTGTTCCTTCACAAAACCAGAATTTCATTGGAGGCAACACATTGTGGGAATTATGGGTCTTGCATCTTAGGTAAGCAGTGAGGTTTGGATGAAGGTATAATTGAAAATACAGTAAGATAATAAAAGATTTTTCTTCTCCTGTTTACTAGCCAAAGTGATTAGAGGCAACCTGGGTTACAATGTACTTATAGTGATGTTGATGTTTATTAGTTCAAAACTCTTAATTTATTGCTAGACTTTTGGCCCTGCTGTAATTGCTGCACAATCTGATGAGAACAATCTAACAGGTAATCTTAAGCCCAATGCATGATGGTTTTTTATTTGTAAATATGTATTTCTGTGTACACAGCAAGTATTCAAATGTAATTTATACTTTAAAAGTCTAAGAACTTTTAACATAGCTAAATAATTGATAGCAAATGTAATTTGTAGATAATATAACAGATTAATAGATAGCAAATTTAACTACTCCCTCCTTATTTAATTACTTGCTCCACTTTCCTTTTACGGCCGTATTTTATCATTTGCTCCGTTTCCTTTTTTGGAAACCTTTCACAGTATTTTACTAATATCTTCTCCCCTAGTGGACCCCCAAACTATCATACTTTAATATTTCCAAATTCTCTCTCCTCCCAACTATCATACTTCATTCTTCCACCAACCCCACTTTCTTCATACGTAGTATTTTATTACTTTCTACTATTTCTCCTAAAACACCGCGCATGGAGAAATGGAGCAAGTAATAAAGTACGGAGGGAGTAATAGATTGTATTTTTGTTAAAGCATTCAATAATTTATCAATTTTCATATAGTAGCAAGTAATTGTTTTCAGATGTATTGAATGACACATAAGGATGAGAGTACAATTTGCTATACAATGTAGTATAAGATAAACAATTACTTCATAAGGGTTATTGGGTATTTTAATTTTTGAATCAGATAGGCTCTTCAATATGCTCCCCTGGTTAGCATATCAGAGAATAGAAGATCAACTCTACTACTCTTTACCAAACACCAGCTTATAGTTGAGTGACTAATCAAATATACTGGAATTGATACTCTTTTTAGCCTGATCAACTTTATATAGACACCCTCATAATATGTGTCAAACAAATGAAAGCAACTAACAAATTTTTACAATATGCCTCTCTTTACAATATACCTCTCTCAAGAAGAACCACCATGTCCTGCCATGTACAACTCAAAATCTCATTCAGATCTAATTCTCATCTGCTAGTGCCTATAAACTTACCGAGACACCTGTACTCTCAAGATTCTATTAGGTCTTATGATCCAACCATTCTTACTGCCCAGTTTCTTGACAGGTGCCAACCAAAGCTTCTGTAAGGACATTAACGTTCAAGCAGCTTGTGCAGAAAAAGGGATGTACCATTCTCAATAATAAATGGATTAGTGAAAGCCCTGGGAGGATAAAAAGCTAGAGTGTCAAGTAATTTAATAGCTATGGGACTATGACATTAGCTCAAGCCTCAAGGATGCGTGTGCATTTTGCATAGCTGGCACAGAATGGAGGCACTAAATCTCACCTAAAATAGTGCTCCCTCTATCCCAGATTAGTTTTTTTTTACACTTATCATGGCGCACAGTTTTAAGTGATAAGTTGTTTGGTTATTAATTATTATATATTTGTTCAAAAAAAAAAAAAAAAAATTAACGCTTATATTTGAAAAGGTAGATGTGATACTCCCTCCGTCCCATAATACTTGACACGGTTACCATTTTCGTCTGTCCCAAAATACTTGACACGTTACTAAATATAGAATGGGACCACTAATAAGAAAAATATTTTCCTATACTCTCTTTGGGACCACAAACCCCAAAACCCAATTAAATCCTACATTTTCTCTCTCCTCACTACCCCCAACTCCCCCACTTTTTGTTTTCTTACAATATAAAAATACAAAAGAGAATCCTTTATATAATAAACAAATGTTTTACATGGACCTGCTTGTAGTTTTCTTAAACTACGTGTCCACCCCAACGTCCCAAGTATTATAGGACGGAGGGAGTAAGAGACAATGGGGTTTTATTTTGCTGGAAAATAGATGAGACAGAAGATAGTGGAGTATTTTTCTATTAAATGTGAGAGTGGACCCAAACTTTTTAGTAGTGGAAAGAGATATGAATTAATATTATAGTGGGAACTTTCCTAAAAAGGAACTGTAAAAACTAATTTGAGACAAGTGAAAAAGCAAAGTGTAAAAACTACTTTGAGACCGAGGGAGTAGTTTGAAATTAAAGAATTTTACCTTGAACAATGATTTTCACATAAGTTGAATAGCAGATGAACAAGTGTAATGTTCTGCTTATTCCAGATCTGGGTTTTGGTGTGGCATCTAACAAAAGAGCACATTATCAATATATTCTCACTCCAAAAGGGGTGAAGAAGAGATACATTGAGAACTTGTTGGATGTTAGACTTGCAGACCATGTTTACCAAAAGAGGCTATGCTTCTTGTGCAGACGTACTTACAAAGCGCTTTTACTAGTGTTGGGTAGGTCCATCATCAAAAATGAAAAAAGTGAAGATGTTACACACAAATAGAGTTAGCAAACCCAAAAGTCCAAGGTTGGTGCGACTCGAAGACACGAGTAAGATTTCGATTTTGGATTAAGAAGAAACATCACATGCACTTTGGTCGACCAAGGCATGAGCGTTGACCATCCCGCATAGGCGGGCAGGCCTTCGGGATTTTGCAAGCCGCACGAGTGAGCGGAGGATCGAATCAAAGAGAACGAGCAAAGTGAGATCTAGAGGGATCACACTTGTGCCTAAAGGCTTGGGATGTTATGTGGAAGGACCCCCATGTATTTAGACCTTGGTGCTAGCAAGTGCTTAGCCAACTAGGCCTAGGCCTTGTGGCTAGAGCACGTGCGTGCGCACCAAAAAAAGCTCATAGTATTTGACCGAGCAAAACTCCATAAAAATCTATGATATTGATTGAGGGGACTCATTGGGACCCCAAAAGATCATGGATGGTCTTAGGATCAAGGTTGGTTCAAGGGATGGGCCCGGGAGACCATTAGTCAGTTGAGTGTTTACTAGAAATTCTTAGCCAAAACAAAATAAAGCTCTTTAGGGGGTGAGTGCTCAGTCAGCGACCGACCAAATGGTGGCCCTATGGCAATGAGCCATGGGCGTAGTCTTGGACTCTTGGACATAGGAAGGCCTATGAAGGCTATAACACATGTGGGTGGCTAAGGTGAACATTCAATAAGACCGACTCGGTGGTCACCATTAAGGTGGACATTGGCTAAGACCGGCCTACTTAATGGATCGATACAAAGCATGTCGGCCATACGGAGTGTTAAGTTGACCAACGGTCAAACGCGGTTGGTTTCGTAATTACGCCACTAACAAGGTGGTTCCTAGAAAATAGGAACCCCAAATCCTTGGACGTGGATCACCCCCATGTACGTAGACAAGTCATTATTCATTCAAGAGAAGTTGAAGGAGTGGGCAGATAGGCAGTTAGTTACTTGGATAATGGGTGTAGTGGGCATAGTGGGTAGTTAATCCTAACTAATTGGGTAGTAAATAATAACTAACTGGGTAGTAGTCAGTGCCTACAAATAGCCCTTGGCATTCCCTTGCTAGCAAAGATTTTGGGAACCCTAGAAAGTGAATCTCCATTGTGTTTTGTGAGCCACATTTAATATAAGTGTTTCATACTTATGTGTTTCAGTGTGCAACCTCGTTACTTTAAGTGTGTGCAGCTAATCTAGACGCCATTACGGACCCTTAGCCAATGAAAAAAAAAATAGCCTCAAAAATTTCACGTGACAACTTAGTCCAACGTGCCGGAAAGCAAAGGACTACTCAAATTTGTACCATCCGGCAAAGGACTACTCAAATTTATACCACCTGCCAATATGACAAGGCCACCTTCTCAA